AGGGCTGCAGGGGGCTGCCGGGGCCCGGGGGGAGGGGGGGAGGGAGGGATTGGTGGTGCGGGGGTGGGGAAGGAGCGGGGTGTGCTGGGCCAGTGGAGCCTGGTTGAAGGGCTGTTGCTGGGATGAGACGCAGCTGACGCAGGGACCCTGCAAGTGCCTGGAGGCTGAAGGCCTGAGAAGAGCGGCCGTGCCTCAGGTGGCCTGGATGTCTGTTTATCTTGGAAAGAGCTGAAGCAGGGTGTGTGTTCGGCCTTGCAGCTGGCACCCTCATGCCCACATCTGAGTGCCTCAGTTCAGGTCCCAGCGCTGGCTCCCGACTCCAGCTTCCTGCTAACGCAGACCCTGGGAGGCAGCGGTGATGGCTCAGGTCCCTGGGTTCCTGCCACCCACACGGGAGGCCTGGATTGGGTTCCCAGCTCCTGGGTTTTGCCCTGGGCCTTTGCCGGTATTTGGGGGAATGAACCAGCAGATGGGGGCTGTGTGTATGTGAAATAAATGACATTAAGTTAAAATATGCTCTGGTTTTAAAAACTCATACATTACAACGAAAACCAGCAGTCTGCAGTCCCGGCGCCCCCACCCCTCGGCCTCCAGCTCTGCCCCGCTCGGCCTGGCTTTCCACACTGTGGCTCCTGCACCGCTGGGAGCTGGTGCAGCCCTAGAGCTGACGCGTGCACTGCCGTCCCTTCTACACTGCATGCACTTCTTATTGATCACCTTTTATGGGGCACCGGGATTTCCTCCCTCCACCGCTCCGGGGTTTGACCCGATCGGAGCCCCACGTTCGCATTCCCAGGACGCAGTTACTGGTCCCCAGTAGGTGATCACGCCTCCTGTCTTGTGTAATTGGTTGCTTTTTATTAAGTTCACCGTTGCCCTCTCCCCCGCTCCATTCCTCCTTTTTCCAGGGTCCCATGAATTCTGCCAGGATGCCCCAAGCCCGCTGGCCCCTGGCCTCGCTCCAGGGGTGGCGCCCAGGGGTTTTCTCCTGGGCTTGCTGCTATCACCAGGGCCATCTGTGCTGTCGCCCTCCCTGGCTTGGGAACTTCCTGTCTCAGACGACGCTCGTGTTTGGGCGGAGCCTGTGCTGCCAAGCTGCTTGAGAAAAGACATAGGGGAGGCAAGCATTCACGGTCCTGGCAAGCCCAAACGTCTCCGTGTGCTGCCAGCATCAGGCCTAGCTGTTCCGAGGCTGCCTGGGTCCGAGCACCTGGGTTTCAGGTCCAGCTCCACTCCTGATCCCTGCAAATGTGCACCCCGGGAGGCAGCGGGGGGTGGCTAAGGCACTCGGGTCCCTGCCCATTTGCTTCTGCTGGGGAGTGAACCAGCAGAGGGGCGCTCTCTGCCTGTTACACAGAGAGCAAGAAGGAGAGAGATCTTCTAACCACTGGTTCACTCCCCAAAGGCCCCAGTAACTGGGGCTGGGCCAGGCCCAAGCCAGGAGCCAGGATCTTCTTCCAGGTCTCCCCAACATGGGTGCAGGGGCGCATCTTCCACTGCTTTCCCAGGCACACTAGCAGGGAGCAAGATCGGAAGTAGAGCATCTGGGATTCGAACCAGCACACAGACGGGATGTTGGCGTCACAGGAGGCGGCTCTACCCGCTGGGCCACAGTGCTGGCCCCCAGCCTGGCTCTTTTTCCATCTCTTCTGTTCTGACAAAGCAACTAGCAGCAGTGCTTTGGTCGTTTCTACCCTTGGCCTACCTCCTTCCTCTCTACTTGGAACTCACATTCGTAGCAGGCCTGGCACTTCTGCTTGTTTTTCTAGGTTTCTTGTATTTTCCTCCTGATTTCTTCTCCTACCTTCTAGATTTCTGTAACTGTATGTTCCAACTCTTTTATTTCTGCTCTTACGTGTTTTACTTCTGGAACTCCTAATTCTCTTACTCCTTGTCTTATTGCAGCCTCTCTGTTTTTTATGGGCACAAATTGTTTTCTTACCCTCCCCCCAGGGTAGTAATTACAGACTAAGTTTTAAATGTTATCTCTAAGATGGAAAATTCTGGAAGCCTGCAGCACAAGAACCCGGCCGATCTTACGCTGCTCACGTGGCCAAGATGCTAAATTCTGTGGACTTTTTCTTTTTTATTTATTTGAAAGGCAGAGTTACGGAGAGAGAGGAGGAGAGGCAGAGAGAGAGAGAGAGAGAGAGAATCTTCCATCAGCTCGTTCACTCTGGCTGCAACAACCAGGGCTGAGCTAGGCTGAAGCCAGGAGCCAGGAGCCGCTTCTGAGTCTCCCAGGAGGGTGCAGGGCAGAGCTCCAGGCTGGCCGCCCACTGCAGATGGGAGTCCCCAGTATCAGGGTACAAAGGTCCCGACTGGACCTGCCGGCTCCCTGTGTGCCTGGGGCCTCGCCCACACAGCTGCCCTCTGTAGCCGCATTCTCATTGTGCTCGCTGTCCGTGACCGTGACCGGGGCACCCCCACTGCCTACCTCTGCAGAGAGGAAGCCCTGGCCTCCTCCTGGGATGGTGCAGGGGCTGGGGCGGCCAGCAGGACGGCCCGGCTATGCTGCTGGGGAAGGGGCCCCGGGAAGCAGGGGGGTTTCTGCCAGGGCCCTCTCTTCAGCACAGACTTCATCCTCGCCAGGCCCCTCGGCACCCAGAGGTGGGCCTGGGTGGGCTCAGCTGTGCCCCCAGGAGCCCCGCGGAGGCCAGAGGCCCCCGGCTCTGCCAAGCCCTCCGAGTTGCTTTCACCTTCAGACACTTGCTGCCATGTCTCGTCTGCTCCTCCCTTCTCTTTGTCCTCGTGGGTTTCTACCTTCCTTGTTCCACTGAGGTCTCAAAGGGGCTCAGGGAGTGAGCGGACAGCAAGGTGTCCCAAGGGAGTGAGTGGACAGCAAGGTGTCCTGAGCGGTGCTCTCGAACATTGTGTGAAGCTGATGTGAAGGGACGGATGTGAAGAGGGAGGTGGCCAGGCATCTGTGCATCGCGTCCTGGCTCCCCCCCGCCCCCCCGGGCAAAGCAAGCCCTGCCCCTGGGTCCCCACCCCCCAGCCATCTGAGGAAATAGGACGGGGCAGGGGAGGGCATGCTGGCTGTCCCCGGGCCTGAGGTCCTTCTTCCTGTGAACCAGTCGGGGGCTCCGGAAGCTGCTGGCAGGGAGGGGAGGCAGGGCCCACAGGCTGGAGGGGAAGAGGCCTGGGTAGGGGTGGGGACAGAGGCGCAGTGGCTGCCAGAGCCCGGCTTCCCAGGGCAAAGCATTCGGGAGAAGAGTGGGGTCTGCCACCCAGCAGTGCCTGAAAGTGGAGGCCAGAGAGGGGATGCAGTGGGGGAGGACCCTGGGGTGGGGGTGAGGACGATGGGGGTCTGGCCCTCGGCTCTGTAACTCCAGCTGCGTGCTCCTGGGCACACCACTTAGCCATGCTGAGCCTCAGTGTCCTCGTCTGTATAATGGGATACCACTGCCCGCCCCAGACTCTGGTGAGGATGCCCCGAGGCGGCCCAGTGCTCAGCACGCTCCAGCACTCAGTGTATCAGCGAGGTGTCAGGTGCTAGGAGTGTCCTCTCAGCCCTCCCCGCTGTCTCTGTACCCCTTCCCAGAGGGCCTGAGAGCGGCTCACTGCTGGAGGAGTTACCCGAAGGGCGGGGCCTGGGCAGAGATCCCCTACTTCCCCCAGCGAGGAAGGCTGGGCCCCTTGATTTCTTAGCACACGGGGACTGTGCGGGGTTCTTGGGAGACGCAGGCAGCAGCCCTGCCTCTGAGCCCTTGGGCTGCAGGGTGGGGGGAGGGGCAGCTCTCTGAGCCGACCCAGAAAATCTGGAGAGGGGGATGGGAGTCTCAGTCACGTTCTAGCCCCTCGAAGCCTCCGTTGGTGGCCCGTCAAGACAGCAGGCTCGCAGGCAGGCTGGGGCCACAGGAAAACGGAGACCCCTGGGTTCTATGGAGACCTGCCCCCTCTTCTCCCCAGATCGCAATGCCCAGAGGCTTGGCAGAAGCATGGCCATGGCCAGCAGAGAGATCTCCAGGGCTCTGGGCTGGCAGGTGCTTGGAGAGGACTGCGCCACACACAGGGCCACCGGTGCCCATGCACAGGCACGCAGACTCTCACTGCCACCCCAGCAGCACACACACACGTCCCTCCCACCTGGACACAAGCACGGCTGCGAGGAGAGGCTAGAGGGGGACACTGGGAATTTTGTAAAAATGAGGCTGCCTAGCAGCTGGACTCAGGGACCCACTGTTCCCGGTGCTAGGAGGATGTCACTTAAAAGGACAGAGGCAGAGACGCTCCTTCCAACAGCGACAACCTCAGGCCGTTGGGACATGCTAGGGCTGGAGCTCACGTCCCTTCAAGGGCAGTGATGGGGGCGGGGCAGGTCGTCGCGTTCCCATGGCAGCCCATCTCGCTGCCATAGCAACGCAGCTCTGCCTGGTCCTGCACAGTCCTAGTTGCCGGAATGGGTGGAGCGCTGGTGACAGTGCCCCAGGAACACGGAGCAGGACGGGGTGCCTGAGGCTGTCACAGAGGGCTGGGCTCCTCGGGGTGGCCGCCGCTCCGCCTTCCTACCACAGCGTCAGCCCCCAGCCCACGGGCCCCCGCGAGGCACTCGTGCACCTGCCGCAGGCACACCTGGAGCGAGTTACTTCTCTGAACTTCAGGGTTGCACCTGTGAGGATGGGGTGAGGCGCGCCTAGCTGCCCGGGGTCATAGGAGAAAAGGGACAGCAGGAGGCCTACGTGCGGGACCCTAGGGGGCAGGGAGTGCCCACCTACGCGCGCGCAGAGGCTGACTGCTTGGACGGCGGCGTCCTGCAGTCTTGCACTGGTGGCTGTGCACCTTCCTGGAATCAGGGAAGAGCCGTCCAGGTCTGCCCCACCCCGGCTGCGCCCGCGGAGGGCCGACTAGGCGTGTGCCACGGTGGGAAACGCCCGACCAGCGAGGCTGTCCCCTCGCTGAAGAAGTCGGACGTGCAGGGATTCCGCGTGTCTGCCGCGGGTTGGGAGTGAGCTGCCTGCGTGACAGCTCGGGAGCCAGCCGCGGGCACCGTCGGCCTCCAATTCCACGCCGGCCACGCGGCTGCATCACCTTTATTGCCTCGGGACAGAAGCTCCCGCTCCGCAGGCCCCGCAGCCTCGCGGGGCGCAGTGCCTGCCGCGCCCCGCACGCCCAGCCCGAGCCTCAGCAGCGCCCCGCGCCGACCCCGCCGCGTCCCAGCGCTGCCCCCCGCTTGCCGTAGCGCAGGCCGAACGAGTTCCAATTGTAGGCGGACGAATCCCTCTCGCGCTGCACCAGCACGGCGTCCCGCGGGGCCGGGGCCAGGCGGCTGCGCGGGGCGCACGGGCTCCCGGCGTCCGGGCACGGCGGTGCTGCCCGAAGGGTCAGCCGGGCCGGAGCGGGCTTCGTCTCCAACGCGCGCCGCAGGCCGGGGGCTCCCAGCCGCTGATCTAGGACAGAAAGCAGAGGTAGGTGAGGCCGAGGGGCAGTCAGGACTCTAAGCGCCCGAATTTTACCCAGAATTTCCTCCGGTAATTTTTGGGTTAAATTATACCCTTTTACGAAGCAAACAAGGTACAGTTTGGAAATCCGGAAATCCCAAGTATTTGGGGGAGCTCAGCTCTGCTGCTTTCCCAACCGGCTGTGCAGCTCTGCGGGGTCCCGGCCTGGCTCCTGCGGCCGTCGGTGCCCTGTTGGCTGTCTCTGTGTCTCCAGGGTGCGTGACAGTGCCATGCACGTAGCAGGGCCTCCATGAATGCTTATGGAAAGTTCTACAAAAGCAGGGGAAATCTGTAGTAAAAGACATCAAGAACGTGGATCTGGAGCCTGGTGCTGGGGTGCAGCGCCTTAATCCACCCTCTGCCTTTGGGGCTGCTGCACTTTCGAAACAGCTCCCTGCTAATGCACCTGGGAAAGCAGCAGCAGATGGCCCAGGCGCTTAGGGCCCTGCACCCACGAGGGAGACCGGATGGAGCTCCTGGCTTCAGCCTGGCCCAGCTCTGACAGTTGCAGCTATTTGGGGAGTGAACCAGCAGCGCATGGGAGATCTCTCTCTGTCTCTCCTTCTCACTCTCTAACTCTGCCTTTCCAATAAACAAAACAATCTTTAAACAAGGAAGCAAACAAAAAAGGACTTGATCCTAAGTGCCAGCCCTGCTCCCTGAGAAGCTGTATCAGGGCTCAGTGAAAATGGTAGAGTCACCAGGTCTGGTCACTGGCTCCCTCCCCCGTCTGGGTGGGCTCTTTCTCCCCTTCCTACTGAGGGTTAAGGAGGCTAATTGGAAGCGCTTCAAATGCAAGGCTTAATAGGTCCCTGTTTTCTGTGGCAGTAAAATAGGGCAGCCAGCCCTGTGTGTGGGTGTGTGCTGGGGTGGCTTGGAGCGTGGCTCCTCAATACACTGGCACTCTTTGTAACAGAGGAGTGGGTGCCCGGTGCAGAGTGAGCGTCTGCCTAGCACGCTGATGCCCCCTTGCCTGGGGGCTTCCCAGTGACGCCCCCTAAGCCAGCAGCAGGACACCTGCGGCTGCCGTGTGTGGCCTCCCCTAGGGCCAGCTCCGTGTCCACGCAGCAGTGGGACTTCTCTCCGGAGCAGCCCCCCTCCCTCAGGAAGGGAGCGTTCTTGGCCAGGGACACCTGGAGCCATGCCCTGTGCTCTGGGAGCTCGTCGGGGTGTGGACATGATGTGGGCGGTGTGGCAGGGAGGGAGAGGGCCAGGGAGGCGCAGCCATGGGCTCTGATTTGCCCAGAGAGCTGACACCAAGACGTGCTCAAAAGCACAGCTCCCACCGGGCTGTGGCACCGGTCCAGTGGCCAGAGCTCCCCAGAAACAGGGCCGGGGCTCTGGCACCTGCTGGGCTTCTGTGGTGCTGACCCAGTGACTCTGACAGCCTCTCGTGACCCCTCTGGGCCTCAGTGTCCCCAGCTCATCCATGCAGTGTCCCTCGATCCCCTCAGGTGGACGGGTATTGGGATTTGTCCTTTGCTTTGGGGTTTTGCTTTCTTTCTCCCAATTCCTCATAAAGACTCCGAAGTCTCTAATGAAAAGAAGCTTGCACACTGGTTCCCTCCCCAGAGGACGCAGCGGGAGAAAGGCAGGATGGCGCCGGGGTTAACAGGCACCTGCGCCAGGACGGGCGTCCTGTGCCAGCCCTGCCCTGTGGGCTCGGTGGGGCTCTCAGCGCGGGGCAGACACGCCAGTCTTGGGTTGCCATCAGATGCACAGGAGACCACCCTCACCCCTTGCCAACTACGGCGAGGTGCGGGTTGCAACCGCCCATCCTCCCCAGTGAAGCCCACCTGTGGGTCCGGGCGACTCCACGACGGCCGCCCCTCCCAAGCTCTCCCGGAAGGAGGTGGCACAGAGGAACAGCAGCAGCTGCCAAGAAACCAGTGCGTTCATTCTGGTGAGGTGAGGCAGGCCCTGGCGGTGCCCTGAGGCTGAAACAGAGACAGGGAATGAGGCATAGGCCAGGCCCAGTATCTGGGCTGGGTGCTGGGGGCAGAGCCCAGTGCCAGAGGTAAAGCCCTCAAAGGGATGTGTCTGAAAAAAATGTATCAGGGAGGTGAGCTAAAGACCACTCACACAATGTGATTCAGAGCCGGGTTCATGCTAGGTGAGGATATCAGGGAGGGCTTCCTGGAGGAGGTGAGACCAGTAAGCTTAGGATGGAAGGAAGAAAAGACCCAGTTGGTTGGAGAATGGCCAGGATTCTGAGTCGCGGGCTTGCTGGAGGAAGGAGTGTGAGATGCGATGAGGGGTGAGCAGGTCTAGGAGCTCAGGCACTGGGCGAGGCACAAACATCCCCCAGAGCCCAGGAGCAGGCACCTCTCCCTCTGTGCAGACCCATGTGTGTCCGGGTCGCACTGACCCCATGTGTGCCCCGATCCCTCCTGCTGTAACATAAATTTAATTTGCTTTCTTTTTCAGGAAAAAAAGGAAGAGAGGCAAGCATCTCATTCTCCCAGCACGGCGCAGCCTCCAAGGCTGTCGTTAAATTGTCTTCCTGCCTGCATTCGGGGATGAGAAAACTTTTAGTGGGTGTGGCCGGGCCAGTGGCCTCCCCAGGCCCCTGTCGGTGGGCTCCGAGGCGGCACAGGTTGAAGGGGCCTCCTCCCGTTGGCTGCTGAGGTGGGAGCCGTGTGCCCTGACCCTCGCCCTGCTCCCTCTGGCCCGTCATGCAGCCCTCTGGCTCCTGGCTCCTGGTTCTCATGGAGGAAGTCACCAGGCACCTGGAGATTGTCCAGGAACCGTGATGGAAGCTGCCGGGGAGGCAGGGGCTCTACAGGCAGAGCTCCAAGGTGGTCCCCGTGGGCGGGGCGTGGGGAGGGGGCATCATGTGCCCATCAGCTCCCACTGGTTGCTCAGCCCCCTGGGTCTCTCTGCGCTTGCCCGTCCCCTGGCTCCCTGCGGGACTCAGGCATGTGTATTGGGTACGAATCCTGCAAAGGGACCAGGAGCACTTTGTCCCCAGCTCTGCCTTCTGTGCTGTGAGACCGGAGCATCCCCTGCCCCCCCCCCCCCCATCTCGCTGTCCGTCTGTAGAATCAGCTCTTTGGCTCAGATGCATACTCAACTCTGCAGAAGCGACTGCACCTGCCTTATGACCCAGGGTCTGCGCTGGCGCTGTGGCGCAGCGGGTTAACGCCCTGGCCCGCAGCGCCGGCATCCCATATGGGCGCTGGTTCGAGTCCTGGCTGCTCCTCTTCTGATCCAGCTCTCTGCTATGGCCTGGGAAAACAGTGGAAGATGGCCCAGGACCTTGGGCCCCTGAACCCACATGGGAGACCTGGAAGAAGCTCCTGGCTCCTGGCTTCAGATTGGCGCAGCTCCGGCCATTGCAGCCATCTGGGGAGTGAATCAGTGGATGGAAGACCCCTCTCTCTGTCTCTACCTCTCTCTGTAACTCTTTCAAATAAATAAATTAAAAAAAATTCCCAGGGTTGGGAGCCGAGGTGGGTGCCTGGGGCCAGGCGGGCTGGGAAATGGATCCCTGAGCTGGGAGCAGTGAAGCTGCGCTCGGTGCTGGGGGCAGAGGTGGACTGACACAGGGCTGCTGCCCGCCACGTTCCCGAGACCTCACGTCTAGCGTGGCAAACTGACTCATGAACAGATCACTTCAAAATGACACGGCAAATGATGCGCTGGATGTAGGTGGGTCCCCTGGGGGCGTGGTATCCTGGGAACCGGACCTAGAGGGTCCTGGCAGCTCCTGGCAGGTGCCAGAAGAAAGGCTACCATGGAAGGCATACCAGCAGGGGCAGCTGCATGGGATGGCGCTGGGGCGCTGAGCCTGTGCGCCCTGCAAGAACTCTGCCTGTCACCAGCACGCACACACACATATACATGCACATGCACGCACACACATACACATAGATCCCCCACCTCTGTCTCCTCTCCCTCCCCCCAATTCGCTGCCAGTGCACAGGGGAGCGTGACCTTTGTGGTAGAACTGAATTGTGTGGGAAAGGGCTCGACCTGTTAGGGCCCCGAGTCCTGACTGCACCTGCTGTGCACACGTCCCCCACCCCAGACACTGTGGTGCTCAGTGTCCAACAGGAATCCAGAGCTTGGGAAGTGGGGTGGCTTCCTCCCTGGGGACCCCCAGTCCTTAGGTAGGTACCCACCCTTCATGTGGGGGAACAGCTCAGAGGAGCCCCAGGGAGCCCAAGTCCCAGTCCCCTCCCATCCCCGCCACAGCATTGCTCCTTGAGCTTTCTTGTGCTTCCCAAATGGAGTGCACAGCGGTGTGGTCACCTCAGCATCCCAGAGCCCACGCTGGGGAGGACGGCGGCTTCAGCCCCCCGCCTGCCTGGATGCACCCGTTGGTCTCGGAGCGAATTCCCCACACCCCCTCCAGTGCCTCGCCGGCCAGGGCAGCTCCTCTTGGAACGTGGGGGCTGCCGTGTGCACCTACCTTGGCTCCTTCGGGCCCAGTGGGGGCTCTGCAGGGTGTCTGGGGTGTGAGACCCCCTGGGGGTGAGCACTCAGAAGGAGGAGAGCTGGGTTCCTGAGTTCGCTCTCCCGGCTCCCTGGTCTCAGCCCCCCTTTATAAAGCCTGCTGACGACTCCAGGCTCCACGCCACCTCTGCCGCCTCCCCGCTCCCGCCCTCCCCGCCTCCCCGCCCCCCCTTCCCAGGCAGCCCTCTCCTCGGGGGTCCTCCTGACCTCCTCCACCTCTCCCCCTGCTCACCCTCACCCACTCGCCAGAGACCCATTCCGCCCCAGACAAAGAGGAGAGCCGTGTTGGAGCGTGGGCAGGGTGTCAGGGTGACACGTCTGGTTCCCTCTCTGACAAGTGCCACAAACCCACTCAGTCTGGAGGGAACGTGAGGAGAGGGCATGGGCACAGCTGACCCCAGGGCTCCCCGTGCTCCAGACTCTGAGAAGGAGCCAGGTCGGCCCCCGCCCCAACTAGGGGGCCCCGGGCTGCGCCCCAGCACCAGTGGGGCAGGGCGAGGGCTCGGCGTCCGACGCCTTCTTCTGCCCTCGATTACTGGGCACTTGCTCAGCAGGCTGCTTCCTTTTCTTCCTTCTTTTTTTTTTTTTTTTTAAATAAATTTGCTGTTTTTGTTTATTTGAAAGAGAAACAAAGAGAGAGACAGAGAGAGATGGCTCATAGGCTGGTTCATTCCCCAAATGCCCACAACAGCCGGGGCTGCACCAGGCTGACGCCAGGAGCCTGGACCCCATCCAGGTCTCTCACGTGGGTGTCTGGGGTCCAAGCACTGGAGCCGTCACCTGCTGCCTCCAAGGTGCGCATTAGAGGAAGCTGGAACTGGAGGTAGCGCTGGCCCTCGACTCCAGGCACCGGGATATGGGATACAGGAGTCCAAGGCTGTTCTGGAAGCCGTGGGCCTTTGAATGTGAACCGAATGGTGGCCCTAGGCAGTGGACCTCTGGGGAGGTGCTGGGGACGGAGTAGCAGCTTCGGGGTGACGGCACACCACCTGTGCCCCTCCTCCTGCGGCAGGGTGGGGCAGGCTTCCTTGGCCGTGACCTCAGCCCCCCAGGGGCCTGTTCCTGTGGCCCGGGACAGGACTGCTTCCTCTTTGGGATTGGAGCTCTCAGGAGGCAGGAGCTGTGTTCCCCGCCCGGTTCGGGAGGCTCTGCGTGCCGGGTGTGTCGTCCAGGACAAGCAGGTACCGGTGCAGAGGCACGTGCCGCCAGGACACGCCCAGCACTTGTGCAACGACCGCTGCCCGCAGGGGCACTAAGCAGGGTGGAGGTTGTAGCCTAGGAGGGCAGGGCTGACCCTCATACAGCAGGTGTGTGGGGGGGTGAGCAGGAGACGCTGACTCCGAGTCCCAGACACACTCACCGCTTGGAGATTTAATCTTCGTGTTTCCTCCCACGAACACAGGGCGGGGCTGTGACGTGCGCCCCAGGCGACTGTCCCTGGGTCCAGATGTCTGTGCCCAGAGTCCCTGCAGCCTCCCGAGCTGACTTTGAGAACTGGTGCTCAGCCCCGTCCTTCCTTCCGGACTTGGGCAGTCTGAGTCAGTGCTGGGCAGGGGGGTGGGGGTGGCCTCCTGTAACCCTCCCAGCTCCCCCAGCCAGTGATCCAAGTTCAAGGAGCTCATCTCCGTGGTTCAGACCATTGAGCCGGTGCCTTGAAGCCTCTGGAACAGCTGTGGGAGCCAAGAAGCATTTACTCAGACAAAGAGCAGAAAGCAGACACAATCTCCAGGTTATTACAGGGCCACCCTTGAGAGCTGGGGACGGCGCCAAGCGCAGACGGGGATAGGGGCTGTGGGGGATGGGCCCAGCTGGCGGGCGGCGAGATGCTGGCCATCCCTGGGCCCCCCTGGGCTAACGGACCTCCTGTTCTTTCAGGTGCTCTGGAGGAGCAGGGCCTGGAGACCCCAGCCCTCACCTGCTCCAAGGAGAGGCCAGGATCTGCCTCCTGCTTTTCCTGTCCTTGCTGGCTGAGACACGCCCCTCCCACCCCAGGACCCAGGTCTAGCCAGCTCTCAGGGGCTCAGGAACCCTGCCTGAGCAGGCAGCTGGGGTCTCGGGGCCCTAATTTCTTTGATGTAATGAGAGGCTGGTACTGGCTACCTGCCATACCCACCCCACCAGGCACTCTGGTCCCACGGAGAAGGTGCAGGGAGGGGAAGAGGGGCTGAAGGCTGGAGCCCTGGGGGCAGATGGGGCCCAGGTACGCTTCCTGCCCTCGGCACCACAGCCCAGCTAAGCTGCAGGTGAGACCTACTTACCACACTCAGGAAGGGGATGTTGAAGGTGCTCCCCAGGAAGCCGAAGGCCACAGGGAAAAAGCCCCTAGGAGAAGGGAGGAGGGCAGCATCAGTGATGGCCTGGGGTCAGGGCAGGGAGAGGCAGTAGGCAGGCTGCCTGCGCCTCCCAGAACAGCTGGCCCTGGGCTCTAGGGCAGGCCGTGCTCTGCACCCCTGTAACCCAGGAAGCAGCCGGATCAAGTTTAAGAAGGAAGGCTCCCTGTGTTCAAATCTCAGCCCCACCCCTCGCTGGCGCTGTCCACCCTGGGCAAATCCCGTCCCTCCCGGGCATCTCTGTGTCCACCTGTAACAGGATGTGCATGGGGGCAGGGGCTTTCGCAAAGCGAGGCTCAGCAGGTGCTCCCTTGTCAGCCCCGGTCCTCCTCCTTCTTCCTCTTCTTCTGGCCTGAAGCCTTCTTCACCCTGGGTCCGGTGTGAGGCATCTGCTCCCGGTTTCCGGGCTCACGCTTCCCATGCCTCAGTTTCCCCGTGAACCCACCCCCTTGAAGTCCCACTCTTCAAACACCCCCTGGGGGTGCCAGGGACATGTGTGTGGTCTTTTCATGGGCAGGCAGGTGCCAAGGCCGCCATGGGGAGGGCCTCCCCTCGCTCCTGCCACCCCCCACTGGGTGGGCAGGGGACGTTTGACTTCTGGCTGGGCCCTTCCTCTCCTTGGGCCCCGGTTTCCTGAGGCGCCCCTGCATTCCTGAGGTGCCCTATGGCTCTGATTGCTGCGCCCCTGCCATGCGGCAGCCCGGTGTCCTTGTCAGGTTTGAAATGCAGAATCTGCAGCAGCCCCCTTGCCCCCCAATCCTGAGCCCTCCCTGAACTCTGGGAGCCGTGGACTGAATTCACTTCCTGTCTTCCTTCCTGAAACGCAAGCTCTCAGGCCCCTCCCCTCCTGCGGTGCCATATCCCCATGGCTAGCCTGGCACTGGCGCGGCGGGTGCTTGTTCTATATCTGATGGTTGGATCCGTGCCTGCACAGGTCCTGCGGCATCCGGAGCCCGCCTGATGTCTTTTCCCTTCTGTTCCTCGGTGCCCACCCGTGTTCCCCAGGCCCCACCCACGCTGCAAGGCCTGTCTCAGCCCCTGCTCCCCCCACTCCCATGGACACCTCCCTGGCCTCCCTTCTGAGCTGCTTCTGCCCTGGCCCTGGCCACACAGCGTCACTAACGCCCACCCTGCCTGCTACCAAGCCCAGGCTGACCCAGCACAGGCCAAGACCCACAACACCTGGGTCAAGTTGGGATTGCTCAGGAAGTCATTGTGAGGGCCCGGGTGGCACTGGGTGTGTGTGTGTGTGTGTGTGAATGTGTATGTGGGTGTGTGTGTATGTGTATATGTGTGTATGTGTGTGGGGGTGTGTATGTGTGGGTGTGTGTGAATGTATGTGTGTATGCATGTGTGTATGTGGGTGTGAATGTGTATGTGTGTGTTATGTGTGTGTATATGTGCATATGTGTGTGGGTATGTGTGGGTGTGTGTATGTGTGTGGGTGTGTATGTGTGTGTGAGTGTGCATATGTGTATGTGTGTGTATGCATGTGTATGTGTGTATGTGGGTGTGAATGTGTATGTGTGTGTTATGTGTGTATATGTGCGTATGTGTGTGGGTATGTGTGGGTGTGTGTATGTGTGTGTATGC